AGTGGTACTACTTGAATGTGCTCATAAACCATAAGTAATGCCACATCTACAATAAGTCTCACTTGGTTCTCCCATGATTCAGACTCCACACAAATATAGAACCAAGACCATAGGCTCACCAACCCATATACCAAGTTGCGATAAAGGGTTTGAATAAAACTTTAAAAGCTTGGCAACGAAGATGGAAAAAACGCATCAGATCGAACATATATTATTTTCCTTATTTTTGTGAACATATATTATTTTCCTTATTCAAAAGAAATGTTGTTTTTGACAAAAAAATTCTAGATAAGTACAAAACTAATACGAATAAGTATATTTTACATATTTATATATGAATATATCTATACATATTATTAATTAGTTACAGACGTGAACTAATTCAGCATCTTCATAAACGTGAGATTTTTTTTTTTTATAAATTGAAGTTGTCAACTAATCACCAGGTAAGGAGGAGAACTAATCCTTAGTGTTATTCTTTTTAATTTTTATACCAATATAACTGTGATTCTTTAGCTTTCGGTATTTATTGATGTATGATTGATGATTACATTTTTTTCTAAGTCTACGTTTTCGAATTTTTGTTGAAACAAACCCTAACTATGATTGTTTTTTTGTTTCAGATTTTTTTAATGACGTCTACTAAGGATATTAAATTTCTAAGACGGTGGATGTATGAAAGAATCGATCATACGAAAAATCAAGTTTCAGAAGGATTTTATCAAGGACTACAAAACTTTATACAATTTGCAAAGAATCAAGAGCTTTTTATAGAGAGTGGAAAACTTTTCTGTCCATGTTCGAAGTGTAAAAACGGAAAATTATTACAAGAAGAAATTGTTGCAAAGCATCTATATAATAGAGGATTTATGCCTAATTATTGGGTTTGGATTTCTCATGGAGAAGATTATGATATCTTAAATACTCATACTGAGGTTTTAGATGATTTTATAGATGGTGGTCATGAAGATCCCTTGCAAACTGAAACTGATACAGAGCCAGTAAATCCTTATGTAGCTATGGCTTCTGATGCTTTTCCTCATATGGAAGAAGAACCGAATACTGAGGCAAAAAAGTTTTTTGATATTTTAGATGCTGCAAAACATCCTATATATAATGGATGTAAAGAAGGTCTTTCGCAATTCTCAGTAGCATCTCGACTCATGAGTCTGAAGACTGATTATAATCTGCCTCAAAACTGTATGGATTCAATTTCTCAGATGATGCAAGATTATTTACCTGAAGGCAACAATTCGATGAATTCATACTATGATATAAAGAAGCTTATGCGGTTGTTGGGTTTGCCTTATCAAAAAATTGATGTTTGTCAAGATAATTGCATGCTGTTTTGGAAGGATGATGCGAAAGAGGAGATGTGCAAATTCTGTAGGAAAGATAGATTTCGACCTATTCAGAAGCCTGGGCAGAAAAAGGTTGCATATCAACAAATGTTTTATTTGCCGATAGCTGATAGACTACAAAGACTATTTCAATCAAGTAAAACCGCAAAACATATGAGATGGCATGCAGACCACACAACGAATGCTGGAGAAATGTGTCATCCCTCAGATGGAGAAGCATGGAAACATTTTAATAAGGTATATCCTACTTTTGCCGATGAACCAAGAAACGTTTACCTTGGCTTATGCACAGAAGGATTCAGCCCATTTGGTATGTCTGGACATAACTATTCTTTGTGGCCTGTTATCATGACTCCTTATAATCTACCACCAGAGATGTGCATGAAACAAGAACTTATGTTTCTCACGATTCTTGTTCCTGACCCAAATCATCCGAAGAGAAGTCTGGATATTTTCCTCCAACCGTTGATAGAAGAATTGAAGGATTTGTGGATTAATGGCATTCAAACATATGATATTTCTACCAAGCAAAACTTTCAGCTACGGGCAGTACTTATGTGGACAATTAGTGACTTTGCAGCTTATGGTATGCTTTCTGGGTGGACAACTCATGGTCGACTGGCATGTCCTTATTGTTTGGATCAGACAGATGCGTTTCAGTTGAGAAATGGTAGAAAAAAAAGTTGGTTTGATTGTCATCGCCGTTTTTTACCGACTGATCATAGTTATAGGAGGAATAAGAAGAACTTCAAAAAAGGAAGGGTTGTTGTTGATGGTCCACCTGAAATACTTACAGGCGAGGAAATCTGGAATGAAGTCAGTCAGCTGCCAAAAACAGTTGGTTGCGGAGGAAACCATGGGAAATTAAAAGGATATGGTGAAACTCACAACTGGCATAAGCAGAGTATATTTTGGGAGCTACCATATTGGAAAGACCATAAACTTCGCCATAATCTTGATGTGATGCATATCGAAAAAAACTTTCTCGATAACATCATCAACACTTTATTGAATGTGCAAGGGAAGACGAAAGATAAGATCCAATCACGACTTGATTTAGCAGAGTATTGTAATCGCAAAGAGCTGCATTTAACAGCTGATGGAAAGGCACCAGTCCCCATTTTTAGACTGCAAGGCGATGTAAAGACAACTTTTTTAAGATGGCTTGAAAAAGATGTGAAATTCTCTGACGGATATGCATCAAGTCTATCCAAATGTATTGATTTATCAAATGGAAAACTAGCTGGAATGAAAAGTCATGATTGTCATGTTTTAATGCAACGACTACTTCCTATTGCGTTTGCCGAGCTGCTGGATAAATCTGTTCATGAAGCACTATCAAGTAAGTATTTTCTCTTTGCAAATTTAAATTACTACTAGAAATAAATTTGAGTTTTTAATCTAAATTTAACTTCCTTTGTTTATAGGTATTAGTTTGTTTTTTCTTGATATTTGCACAAAAACTTTACACGAAGACAATCTTGCATTATTAGAAAAGAACGTTGTTGTGGCTCTTTGTAATCTGGAAAAAATCTTTCCTCCAGCCTTTTTTGATGTTATGGAACATTTAGCTATTCATTTGGCATACGAAGCTAGACTTGGAGGACCTGTGCAGTTTAGATGGATGTATGTTTTCGAGCGACAAATGGGACATCTAAAAAACAAAGTTAAAAATAAAGCAAAAGTTGAAGGTTCTATCATTGAACAATATGTCAATGAAGAAATTTCTAATTTTGGCACTTATTACTTTGAGCCACATGTCAAGACAAAAAGCCGAAAAGAAGATCGACACTATGATGGATGTAGTCAAATTGATACAAGCCAGAATGAGGAAGTACCAGATATTTTTCATCAGCAAGGAAGAGGAAGTGGTAAAGAGAAAGAAATATGGCTTCAAGATAAAGACTACATTATTGCGCATACATATGTTCTACTGAATTGCGAACAAATAATGCCATTTGAAAGGTAAATATAAATAATAAAATAAATATATTCATTTATATTTACAAAACTTTAATAGATAAACACATTTTTAAGTTTTCTGTTTTTTTTTTTTGTAGGTTGTTTGATGAGAGTATGAAAGCTTCATATCCGGGAATAAGTGAAAATGATCTAAATCAGCTTAAAGAAAAAGAATTTGCAAAGTGGTTAGAAAAGCATGTAAGTATTTATAAAAATTCATTACATTTTTCGATAATTTAAATTTATATAAATTTATTGTTTTGTCAATACATATCAGGTGGAAGATAATAAGATAAGTACTCCATGGTTACAAGCTCTTGCACATGGTCCTATGACAAAAGTTACTTGTTGGCCAATATACTTTTATCGGGGATATATATTTCACACATATGATCATGGAAAAGACAAAACCAATGCCAATTATGGAGTTTGTGTTAAAGATACATCATCTAATGGATCAAGCGGAGAACCTGATTTCTATGGAGTATTACAAGAGATCTATGAGCTCCATTATCCCGGACAAGTTCATCTTAAAATTGTGCTTTTTAAATGTGATTGGTATGATTCAACCATTGGAAAAGGTATAAGGGTGAATAAATCTGGGATTATTGATGTTCATACTGGAAAGCGTCATGGAAAATATGATCCCTTTATTTTAGCTTAACAAGCAGATCAAGTATGTTATGTTCCGTATCCGAGAGTAACTCATAAGAAAGATCATCATTGGAAAGCAGCTATCATGATTCCACCACGGGGAAAAATACTGATGAGTCAAAATTTGGATTCCACTGCAATGCAACATACTGATGATAACTCGGTCGTTCCTACTGATTTACTACATGTCGAAACATTATTCAATCTACATGGTCAAGCTGAAAACCTTGAAGATGTTGAAGAAGAAGCGAGATTAAGATCAGATGAGGATGAAAATAATGATTATGAGTTAACATATGAAGAATCTGAGTAATTTGGTGTTATAGTGTTATATTTTATATGATCGACAAGGTTTTATGGCATTTGTTTTTGGAAATTAAACTAATTTAGTTATTTAATCATTCATGTCTTTTAAGTTTTAACTCTGATGAAATAAATTTTCTTTATATACATATTTTATACCACCGAAAGGTCATCTTGTCTTATTCATCTACTTTTGTTTTTTTTTCGATTACAGAACGGAGAAAGAAACGAAGAAGAAGAAATCCAAATCTGGACCTTCTGTACCAGAGACAAATACAGGAAGAGATGAGTTTCCTTCATGATTTCCTTTTCGATTGGCATGAAGCAGCTTCAGTGTAGAAGATCAAAATCACGCAATTCAGAAACCAAAAACTTCACTGTGGAACTTTTCGTTTAGGCTCAAGTAAGTTCATGTTCATCTCTGTTTTGTTTTGGGTTCATCTGTGGGAATTAATTCTGAAACAAATAGACTCTTAAAAAGCTCACTTTTTTTTTGTTCTAAATCATGTTCCACTGTCAATCTCTCTTCATTGGAGCAGAGGAGCTCTTGGTTTCAATTCGCTTTATCCCCAAATTCACGTTGGATGAAATATTCTATCATTGTGTCCTCTTTACAGTAATGTCATATCTTTTAGAAGTTGTAAGATGATAACTTTTTTTTTATAGAGAGTCAACTGGTTGAATCTGTAAAATAGAGTGATGGTTAGTTGAGTGGTTGAGGCGGTTGAGTCGTTGGAGACGGTTAGAGTGGAGGAGAGTTTGGTGCAGTGTAGTGTGTGTTTGGATGATTTCGAGGTTGGTGTGGAGGCGAAAGAGATGACGTGTAAGTATATGTTTCATGGGGAGTGTTTGTTGCCTTGGCTTGAGTTACATAGCTCTTGTCCTGTGTGTAGATATTTGCTTCCGACAGGGGATGATGATGGTGAAGCGAAGACTGATACGGAGACTTCGAGTAATGTTTCTATGGAGAATAATGGGACATCGGTAGACTCGAGTTCGAACAATCCATCGGTTAATGATTAAGGACTGTCACCACAGTGTGAGACAAGTTTACTGAACACAGAGGGGTCAGCGAAAGTACTACCTTCTGGGAGGTAAAGGAGGTGTCGGGAAAACAAGCTGTGCTGCTTCTCTCGCGGCTAAGTTTGCTACCCACGGTCACCCTACCAACGTGGTTTCAACAGATCCTGCTCACTCCTTGAGTGACACTTTCTCCCAGGTATTCAGAATTGGCTCTCAAATTTCTATGCTCTGCAAAGTAAGTGTTGTTAGTTATCGGTTTATCTCTTCTATTTCAAATCCAGGTATTACTTTTATCTTAAGCGAAGTTATATGATGTCTGTTGCAGATCTTGAAGGAATTGCTTTTATCTTTGGCTAGATCAAAACCGTTGAATAGACTAGCGAGGTAGACTTGTTTTTTTTTTTTGTCTATATTTTTCTTAATGGCGCCTTAATTTCTTAATGGCGCTTTTTAAGTCATGAAGATATTTAGATTTTTACTTTTGAGCGGCAAAACCTAAAAATTAAGTGGAAACCGGGAAAAAATCCCTTAAAAAGTGGTAAGAATATCCTAAAATATCCTAATATCTAACTAGTATATAAAGGAAGTAATATTAGTTACCTCTTCTCACGTTAAAACCCAAGAACCTAAACTACATCTTAGACTAATTCAAAGCCGTCAAGGTCTAAGATCTCTTTGGTTTTTTCTTTTTTGCAGTTAATCGTTTAGTTTTTTTGTTGCTTGTTATGTCATGATCTAATACTTTTGACCTGCATCTTTTTCTATGATATTTTTTTGTACTATTACAGATGTGTCGACCAATGATGTTAGGCGGTCGCTTGTTTGGAAGATCATCTCTTCAATCTCTTGGTCTCCAAAGACAGAGGGAAGGAGTTGCTAAAAATGTCCAACCACGAGAACAAAGGGAAGAATTTGTACCTGTTGAGCGAGATTCGCGAGTGCTTCATCCATCTAGAAAGAATGGAGCTAAATGGTATTGTGATATATTCTGAATTACTCTTCTCTGATTTACAAAGTATATATATAACAAACTCAACTTTATCTGTACAGGTTCAAGAACAACACTGAAATATCAACGCGTGTAAGGAAAATCATTGAAGGATGTTTTAAAGGACCATGGTACAGCTGGAGAAAAGTACCCTAGTTTTACAAGGATGCTTGGTATTCAACGTTTAAGGTGTGTTTCTATATATTTTTAACATCAAATACATATTTCCTTTCTTACACATTTATGAGTTTTATTGTTCATGAGCGTTTCTTTCATATCCTGTTTTTTGTTTGCTTTTTAATAACTCTAACCACATTGTTTTGACTGTAGACCAAGTATGAGTGGAATGTCGCCATTGAAGATCTAGTGAAAGCTAACTTTGATGAATTAGCTGCCACTCGCCTCAAAGGAATGGTGAGCCTTGCAAAATCCAAAGGAGTGAAACCTGATTGGATTCTTTCAGAACACTGGAGAGTTATGTCAGATTACTGGAAGACACCAAAAGCCAAAGAAAAAAGTGAGAAAGCTCGTTTGGCTCGTATGTTTGACCGTGATGGTTTGGGTCCCCACAAGCTGTTGAAGATGATGATACTTTAACTCACCGAGTCAAAGAGCTAGAGTCAGAGTTGCAAAAGAGTAATGAAGAAAAAGGCCAGTTTCAGAATAGGATCGAAGCAATGGAGAAAATATTGAAGACTGCTTTTGGTGAAAATGTATTGACTCCAACCGATACAACTACACCCGTATGAAGTCTTCTCCAAGTTGAATTTGGGGTTTAGTATCTGTCGTGCTTTTTGTTAGGTGTTTTTAGTTTGGTGTTCTAGTTTGGTTTTGGTTTTCATTTGGTTTTCATTGGTTTATTTTTGCAGTTTCAGTTTACCTAGTAAACTTATTGTCCTTTTGTGCTTCCGTTTGATATTTAAATAAAACTATGCATTTTATGATTATTTTTTTATTTACATCTTCTTATTTACAAATTTGAGATTTTATTTCAGTTATATCAATAATTTCTAATTAAATATAATTTAGTAATAAATATATGAACATATTTAATGATAAAATATAAACATGTGTGTCATAAAATTGTAACCAATTCATACAAATGTTACTATCATAGTTTGTAACATTTAGTTACACTGCTTTCATAATAAAAAGTGACAGATTGATAGTTACAAAATACAACAATTTTGTAACGCGTTTATAGTACATATTCAAGACGGATAAATATCTATTCTTTAGTCATTGATTATTACGTTTTGTAACTAATTTTTTCGTAACAATATGCTACAAAATTAAGATTTTAAATTAGTTATGAATAATGACGGTTTGAGAGAATATATAAAGTCAGAATTGGTGACGGTCACATGACTATATTATCGTCTATATTAGTGATGTTTTGTGACAGCAGATCCGTCACTACAAATGACATAGTTGCCACATTAAAGCGGTCACAAATTGTGACAGTTTTGGGACAATTTGGTAAGTAAGAAATTGTAACCGTTTTGTTACCAACAAATAACGTAACTATATGTGACAATTTGTTACAAAAAATTTAGTCGCAAGAAATTGTTACATTTTTGTTACTCCAAAATATTTGTGACACACGTATTATAACCATTCAAAATTAGTAACAAAAACGTAACAATGATTATATTGTTACGAATTCTTTTTTATTGTGACGGATTTTTTTTGTCACAATGCCCTTATTTTCTTGTAGTGATGCACATAAGATTCATCTCACTCTATAAGACCTTAAAGTATCAGATAAATAAAATAACTCAGACTAATTTTTTTTTTTAGTGCATATATGAAACACAATTTATATAAGAGACTGAAGTAAGAGACTATGTGAAAACTATGTTCTACCCATGGTATACATAATGCATCATATTTTTTTCATATTAGATCACTCATTATGTTTGTAAAAATTATGTTTTGTCAATTTAAAGAAGAAAAATATATTTTTAGATTTTATATCTATTATAATACATTCTTCTTGATGATATTAAAGTATAATAGTACACTTAAGTATGTGATTATAATATGCTTAATAATGTTTTTTTTGGTTTGGGGTCAAGAAATTAGTTTGACAAAACAAATCCACTTTAGAATTTTGAGATGTAGTTGTCTACTATCCACGTGCATCTTCTTTTAAATATGAAAACATATCTATCTATTACAAAGTTTTTCAAATGTAAAATATTTTAATCCAAAAGTAAAAAATACTCTTATGTAAATATTTAGTAAATTATCATGCATATATTTAAAATTTAGTTTTTTTTTTGTAATCATCTTAAAATCAATTATGCTAACAAGCTCACTTGAGAGGAAATCCCATGTTTATCTTTGTATATATTGCTCTTCTTATGTGTTGAATAAGGTTAGGAACAAGTTTAGGGGTCTCCTCACTATGCCCAAAGGTCATGCTCAAAGATCTATAGCCACAACACTAATCATTACCACTTGAGGTATCACTCCAACCATTCTTTGTATATACCATTGCTTTTATCGTATTTTCGGTATCTCCTTCTCTTTTACTCACACAGAGACAGTGTGATTTAAGTTCTGGGGAGGTACCAAGTATTTGATCATGTTTGCTTTTTTAGTTTTGAGTCTCATACATTGCATTGTACATACATATATGCATAGAAAAATCCAAAAAAGTGAAAGTTTTCGAAAAATACAAAAAGAATCATGTAGTTGGATCACTTGCATTCTTAGGACTGAGTCTAGATCATATAGGTTGCATTCACTTGCATATGGAGCAGCTGTTGAAAATGCCTTGAACAGAACACTTGTTTGTACTTCAATTAGCACCCTAGCTAAACATATGAAGTAGCTTAGGCATATCTTTAAAACCTTGCACGCTTCGAGCCTTGAAAACTCTTCTTGAAACATGTTTGCTTGCTTGATATTGGCATTGTTCTTAGAACCAGCTCCACCCTGAATCTAGACTTGAATGAACTTAATATCTTTTGCATATGGGCACTTGCATACTTAGTCATGGATCTCATACACATTTGGGTTATCATATTTCATTTTACCACTCTTTGTTAACCCAAAAGACACTCCATACCCTTGAACCCTAGCCATTCTTTGAGACCAAACATTTATTTGCATTAGCCTCTTTTGATAGCCTGTCATGTGCAAAATCTTGAGAGTATTGGAGGCGACATAGATTTGTTCTTATCTCTTGCTAGCATAGGAACCTCATTTGAGCTAGCATCTAGGATGGTGAGTGGGTTTATGTGCTCTAAATGTTAATGTCTTGGGTTTGGGAAGTGAGATAAGTGAGAAAGATGAACAAAAGCGTGTCAAAAGAAAGAAAAAGCCCTAGGGACCTTAGAAAAAGAAGAAAAATAAGCTCTAAATTGTATTTGGAACCTTTCCCCTTATAATAAAAAAAAAGAAAAAAAAAAAGATAAAGATTCAATAAGATAGGGAGACTTAATTTTAGAACTTATCTTCTTTTCTCTAAAAAACACTTTGGAAAGTTAAATTTTTGATTAATATAATCTTTGTTTCTTGAGTAATTTGTGTCTATGTCTTCTTCTAATCATGATTAGCCTTCTATCCATCATGGGTTTAAGATTAAACATGAAGATTAGTGAGTAGATTCTCTTTAAACTTATGGGTTAGGGTGATTAAGTAATGATCTAGGTGATTAGTGTTAGATCCTTCTTGTTATATGCTTATTACTTATTCCCAATGCTAGATTAGACCTAATCCTTCTAAACTAGATCATTAGGCATTTCATGCCCTCAAGGTGTATGATGAAATGTCTGAACCAAAGTAATAATAGTTTTTGTTTGCTTAACCAAGGACACTTCATGTTAGGAAGGCTTAGATGGTTAGTAGACTTGTTCTCAATGATTGTTTGATTGATTTAGACCAATGACCATTTGTGTTTGGAGATTGATAGAAAATGAGCTTTTTCCTTGACCAAGGACTAGCTTGGATTGTGTCTAGACCTATAGGATATGAATGATTGCTTGAAACCTCACCCTAGATAGTAACTTGATCACCCACATCCAATACCTTTACCCGTAGGTTCTCCTATCTCTTTGAAACAAAGCTTTATTTACTCTTGTTTACTTACATTGCTAGTTACTTGTTACCTTATAAAACAACTCCCTTGATTGCATTTAGCTTAATACAATTACTTGCATTATCTTTGTTCATTAGCACTCGGGATTGGATTGATATCTAAAATACAACATTGATTTGCTATAAGGTTTAAAGTCCCTTATCAACATCTGAAGCTTTAGCTTTTTTAGTGACAACATGGGACTGGAATCATGTGTGTAAACATTAAAGGCGGGGATTTGGAGAGGTTAAAGCTTCCTTTAATAGTGACGCTGAAGTAGAACGTGGAGGATCTTAGCACGCCTTTCACAGTTTATGTGGTAAGTACAAACATTTTCCTTTGTAGTTAATGTTGACAAGCATGGGACTCTTACTGTTCTAATGAAAAGAATGTAAAAATCTTGGTTAGGATGCTAGAAAGGAACATCGACAGGTGTCTAAAGTTTGGATAGGGCACAATCAATATTAGCTCTCGCATCAAAAGATTCAATCCTTGGAATTTCAGCCGTCTTGGTAATATATTCCCTTTAAGATACAGAGAAGGCTGTATTCTTAAAAGAACATGGCATACAAAAGCTTTTGTTTACCTAGCTGTGTAAGCCAACTTACAACTCATTTGTTTTGTGTGAGATTGTAGATGATGATGACTCCTTGGGTAGATTACAAAGACTTTGTCAATTTGATCAAGAGAATAATATGAAAATCAAATCAGTTGCTGATCTAATAAGGCACAGTACAACACTTCAAGATCAGTTACTAATATTTAGATGAAATACTGTGAACGTTCCCTTTTTACCGTAGTTTTTGTGTTTCCCTTATATTTATCTATTTCTTGCCAGCGCTTTCTTAAAACCAAGAGATAAAGATTGCATGTTACTTAATAAAAAAGTGGTATCGTTTTATGGACTGCACTTTTTGGTTGCATTTATACTATATGTTTTAACTAGTGTATATATATCATTACCACTACTAAGATGCTGCCGGAGATCGTTGCAGTAAGTTTAAATGTTCTAAAATGTGTGTGGTCAATCTAAAGTTGCTAACGCCTATGTTTTCATGTTGAGGATTTT